AATTCAACAATATATTAGGTCTGTTCTCCTTAGCATATAATGTGGGTGCCAGAGTAAAAATTAAGCATGGCAAAATTAAGAAACTAAAAAAAGAATAAATAATGCAAATTATAAAAGTAATAAAAAGTTAACCTACTAACTGGAGCACAGCAGGTAGGGTATTTCCCTTGCACGTGGTCAACCTGGGTTCGATAACTCTGTCCCTATCAGAGAGCCCAGCAAGTTACCAAAAGTATCCTGCCCGCATAGCAGAGCCTGGCAAGCTCCCCGTGGCATATTCAATATGCCAAAAACAGTAACAACAAGTCTCACAATGGAGACGTTACTGGTGCCCACTCAAGCAAAACAATGAACAATGGGAGGACAGTGCTATAGTGCTATAGTGCTACTAACTGGAAGAAAATACTTGCAAATCCTATCGCTACTAAGGAATTACTGGGGAAAAAAAAGATTTTATACAACTCAGTAACAAAGCAGCAATAACAAAACACAAACAAAACAAAATGCCACCCCATGAATCTGATTTTTAAAATTGGCAAAGGACCTAAATAGATATTTTTCTAAAGAAGATATTTAGACATGAATATTACTCAGCTACAAAAAGGAAATCCTGCCAACTGCAACAACATGGATGAGTCCTGAAAGTACTATCTAGTCACTTCTGACTCTATGGGAACACAAAAAACAAGCAACCTATAATGATAGCAAATTTTTTTAATAATAAATACACATTGATAGTTAAAATATTTAATTTATGCTAAAAATACTTTCCTAGCCTTAATTATACAGTACTTTGTGTTATTTGTTATATAAAGTAATATGAAGAAATTAAAATATTCTATACATATTTCAGGAAGCTAATAGCATATGGTAAGAATGTCCTAATCTACAAATGAGTAAGGCTGGGCATTCTCTGTGTGAGCATCTTGAGAAAAACTAGGCAACTTTTAAGTGGAGAAAAATTAGGCAACTTTTAAAAGTTAGCAACTGATTCTTACATGTGTGAGGTTTGATCCCTGGCACAACACACAAACACACACACACACACACACACAAACACACACACACGTTCACAATAGAATAAAATTGCTCTATCCTGAGACCAAATTGTCCTTTAAATGTACTAATAAATTATAACCCAAAGCAACAAAAAATTTCCAATGCAATGTTATTTTAAGAATTTTTTTAAATTCTTATGGTTTTACTGGTCTGTATGGTTTCTATTGGTTTCTATTTTTAAGAGGCATTAGAGTAAAAACCTACTAATCTATTCTAATATTCATCATAACTCATCAAATGATAAACCTTAATTTTAAAAGTGATGAATTAAGACACTTGAACAAGTAACAATAAGTCAAAAGTAGTTCCATTTTTCTACTTCAAAAGATATATATAAAAATCATTGCTATATTTTCTGTGTCCAAGTTGTTGGAAATAAATGCAACTCGTTAATCTGACTTCCACTGTTTAAATAAAAGAATGTTTATGAAAGGATCTTCAAAGCAAAAATCAGGATATCAGATAATTATAAATGCTTCTAATAATACATAAGTCATTAATATGGGTCATGATATATTGAAACGTTTCTAAAACACTATGTTGGCATGTAGGAGCAAATTGCATTAAGATACTTCACAGGGGCTGGAGAGATAGCTCAATATGCATAGTGCATGCCTTGCATACAGGATGCCCAGGTTTGATCTTTGGCACTAGGTAGTTTCCCAAAAACTTCCTGGAAGTGTCCTCTGAGCACTGAGAAAGAGTAGTCCCTTATTACCACTAGTCTGCCTCCCACTACTAAAATGTTTTTTAAAGATACCTCCACAAACCAGAGAAATGCACAATTCAAATACTACACATATATACTAAACATTTATAAAGTGAGAGACGTGATAAATAATATAATACAAGTCTTACCCACCAAAATATCAATGTCAAAGGACAATTTTGATTATCTTATTGTTTGTTTGGATTTTGGGACCACACCCAGTTATGCTCAGAGCTTACTCTTGGTTTTTCACTCAGGGATCACTCCTGGCAGTGCTAAGGAAATCAGGTGTGATGACAGGTTTCAAATGTGAATTGGCTACATGCAGAGCAAGTGACTACCTGCTGTCCTATCTCCCTGGTACCCCAAGATCATTTTTATTAGACGTCTTATTGAAAAACATTACCAACTAAAATAGAATTTTTATTTGGCCTATGATAAAATAATAAAGGCTGAGAATCTAACCTAACCAACTTGTAATTTGAATGGCTTGAAAAATAAGGGAAATTATGTCTATGGTATACAAATTAGAGAATATAAACACTGAACCGTTGGGTGCATACACACTACTGAACCTGAATACAGTGTTTGATTAAATTGATAAATCATTTACTATGGTTAAAAGGCAAGGCAGAGTATAATTTTGAAAATAAAACTATTTACTTTTGATTTAGAAAGTGGAAAAATTAAAATTTAGGAAGTAGAGTGATAGTGTAGTGTGTAAGGCACTTGCTTTGCATGCAGCTGAATCTGGTTTGATCCCTGGATCCAAACGATCCTCCAAGCAAAGCAAGGAGTGTTCCCTGAGCACTTATGGAGCTAAGAATAAGTCCTAAGAATAAGTCCTAAGCACAGCTGGGTGTACCGCCCAAAATAAAACTTTATGACCTGTGATATTCTATCATGCTTAAACTACTACAGAGACATAATTACTATGTATTCTGGACCTACGTTACTTTCTGCCATCACTTCCTACAACTAGAACTCAAAACAATGCATTCTAGTTTTATGATGGTCTTGAAGCATAAATGACAAAGTAACGGCACTATTTGTTCATTTCCTCTAAATGACTTCACAGATCTGTTTTCTCATAGCACATCCTAGGAAAACTTTTATGACCACTCTATGTAATATGACACTGTCAATGCCTTATACCCTACTTCTATTTTTAATAGCTCATCTCACTATTTGACATTATTGTGTTATTTTCTCCATCTCACCTCACTAGAAGGACCAGAAACTTATTTTTGGTCACTGATGAATCCTGTTTTTGACATTCAGTCAAAATGTGTCTGGCACATAGGTACTAAGTAGACATCTAGAAAAATCAATAAAAAAATGAAAACTCAATCCCTAAATGTGGGATTGTGTATTATGGGTCAGATTCTCTAAATTAAAAGCATGATCAACCTCCACTACTGAGAAAGTGAAGGAGCAAAGTCACAAATATCTAAACAGAGAGTGGTCAATTCTACAAAATCTTTCCAGGTTTTATTGAAGTAATATTTCTGCAGAATATTGAAAACTGAGTAGGTATGTCAGATGGGCATTACTAGAAAAGCGCTATTTTGGAAGCACTGAAATTCTCTAGGCCATCATATGTACATGAAGTGTGTGACTATGCATATATCTATCTATTTCTTAGGGTGGACAAGTAGGAAGAAACGATTGTAGAAATGTTATGCTGATATTTAGTGCATTAATTCACAGCTAACAAGGAGGTATATAGAATTACTTCTATACCTGATAGGAATCATATATACAACATTATAGCACTGAGACTTGGGGAATGGGGAAAAGTAACTGGAAATAGAAAAAACTTTCAGAATAAAAGATGTATTTTTTTTTGCATCATACCCAGCAACGCTCAGGGGTTACTCCTGGCTCTGCACTCAGGAATCGCTCCTGGCGGTGCTTGGGAAACCATATGGATACCAGGGACAGAACCCATGTTGGTCACGTGCAAGGCAAACGCCCTCCCCATTGTGCTATCGCTCCATCCCGAAGAAAACAGATTGAATGAAAATGATGATATCAATAAAAATACCAGAGAAGACAAAGAGAAATATTCTCATGGAACCCATACTATGAACAGACCAGAAATAAAGCCCAGAGAATAGAGGAAGGAGTATAAGATGGACAAAATGGTGCTATGAATGTGTTTTTAAACAGCAATAGTATATAAAGATCAAATAATATGTGAACTAAAATTAATTAGTAGAATATTGGTAACTGGAAGGGTCCTCAGTGGAAGAGACTGGCAATAGCCAATTAAAGAAGGTAAAGAACAAAGTAGAAAGTATCCATAATTTTTTGGAGAATTGACTTACATAATAACACTTTCATTCTCAGAAACACTGAAGGATTATGGTTTTAAGAGAGAGTTCAGGAGGCAATGTGCCTCCTTTCCTTGTGGCCAACCCTAGTATGACCTGGGCACAACCTATGGTCCCCTGAGCGCTGCCCAGGGTCACTTCTGAGCACAATGTCAGGAATAGTTCCTGAGCATCATTGCATGAACCTCCAAAACCCATCAGCCACATAAAAGAACCTGAAAGATTAATAGTAAAAATTTGTCAACTTCTAAAGGGTGTTTGGAGGATCCTCCGAGGAGGGGAGATGCATGTCAAAAGTAGACTATGGACTGAACATGTTTGCCACTCAATGCCTCTTTTGCAGACCACAACACCCAAAAGGAGAGAGAGAATACAAGGGATTGCCCTGCCACAGAGGCGGGGGGGATGGGGGGCATGGGGGTGGGAGGGATATTATCCATGGTGGTGGAAAATGGACACTGGTGGAGGGATGGGTATTTGATCATTGTATAATCGAAACCCAAGCACAAAAAATTGTAAATCTACAACTGTACCTCATGGTGTTTCACTAAAAAAAAAAAAAAATTGTCAACTTCACTTCAATTGCTACTAACCTTTTACACATATATGCATGCTTTAGTATTTCAGGTCAATGTAATCACTAGGAATAAACCATTATATAGCTAAGGCCCTCCCGTTGATCATCGATTTGCTCGAGCGGGCCCAGTAACGTCTCCATTGGAGATTTTGTTGTTACTGTGTCTGGCATATCGAATACTCTCGGTAGCTTGCCGGGCTCTCCGAGAGGGGCGGAGGAATCGAACTCGGGTCGGCCATGTTGGCCGCTTTTAAGGCGAACGCCCTACCCGCTGTGCTATCGCTCCAGCTAAATTATAATAAGTACAAACATTGCTTACCTGAATTTCTACAACCATTCTGTCAATCTCATCTTGTTGGTTGTGTATTATCTACAACATAAGAAATAAGTCAGTCTAAATAAAATTTACTATAGTTTTATTCAAGAATCAGGACTTAAAAAACACACAAAAAAAGAAGAGGACTTTGAGAACAGGAAATTGAACTTATTTTTTAAAAATCAGAGTCTGATTTATATTTTTTTCAAAAATATTTATACCAAGTGTTATTTAAATAGCCCATAAACTACTTAAATTATACATGGACGTCTGTTTAGTTCTTTGTTTCTCTATTTAAGATTTAACTGTCTCGTGACTTTTTGACTTGTTTTAAGTCATGCTACCCATTAGTTCTTGATAAGTACTTTCTCTAATTTATAAACATAACTTTGAAATACTTTAATCTAGAGAGAAAAAATTGTTTAAACAGCTATTTTCTAAATAAAATTATTCTAACTAAAAATCTCATAGGCTAGTAAATATTGGCTAACATTTACATCTAATAATTAAGTTACGTACCTATGCATACATATCCACTGACCTTACTAGTATTCTCATTTTGTTCTCTCAGGTTATCATTTTCATCCTGAAGTTGTTTCGCATCTAACATGGGAAGGCGAATTCCATCTTCAAGGCATCTTTCTACTTTTTGCTGCAAACTATTATTCAGAAAGACACAATTATATCAGTAATCACTGCACCTTGTTTATTTAAAAAAATATACATACAGAGAGTACAGGAATATTTGAGCATCTTTATTTCATACAAGAAAAAAATAAAATGGAGGTTAACTACCTTTTGAAAAATGCACACTTGAGTCTGAGTTCTAAAGTTGTTGGTATGTGAAATCTTTAAACCCTGCTGATGTCTCTCATTACACTAATCTGAGCTGTGCAGTCTAAATTCTGTTTTTTACCTCTCCCCACAAAATTAGATTTCTTTTAATTAAGATAGCTGTGGTGGGAAGCATGAGAATATGGACAAAAATCCTCAACATTTATTGTGTTTATCAAGTTTGCTTGTAAGTTTGCTAGTTAGTTGTTGCCTAAACCAACAGAATTACGCTTCTCCTTCACTGAGCAGAATAACACACTAATTAATCTAATACTTCACCTAACAATTTTATTTGCAATACATGGCACAGAATTGCATTTTAGAAGAGGAAAATAAGAGCTGGAGCAATAGCACAGAGGGTAGGGTGTTTGCCTTGCACGCAGCCAACCCGGGTTCGATTCTCAGCATCCCATATGGTCCTCAAGCACCGCCAGGAGTGATTCCCGAGTGGAGAGCCAGGAGTAACCCCTGTGCATCTCCGGGTATGACCCAAAAAGCAAAAAAAAAAAAAAAAAAAAAAAAAAAGAAGAAGAGAAAAATATATCCCTTTGATGCATTATGACTGAAAGGATAAAGAGGAGTGGAAATACTAGCCCTGAGAAAAGATGTCATGGTTGGGTAAACAGAAACTATAGCATAAAAAATAATAAGCAAAGGAGATCAGAGAGAGCACTAGCTTACATTAAGGTTTATGTGACCAAGCCTAGTCAACCTTAATTGATCCCTACCACCACATTTTTATCACTGATTTGGCCCAAAATCCCCCTCCCCACCACACACAAATACATACACACAAGAAAAATGAGTAGAAAGAACTGAGCACATGTTTTGTATGCCAGACACCTAAGACTGATCCCTGGCATCTATGCGAAACAAGAAAAATTAGCAAAACCAAAAAAAAAAACACAGGAAGCTAAAACTAGTTAACTTTTTCTTACTACAATTTTCTACCATAATTTCTATATGGTATATTTTTATATAATGGCATATATAATTTCTATATATATAATAATATATAATATATTAATTTCTATTATTTTAATTATATATTAATTTATTTAAATTAAATTAAAAATTAAAATAATTAATTTAATTATATATTAATATAATATAATATATAATGATTATATAATATATAATAATATATATAAAATATAATAATAATAAAAAATAAAAGAATTGCAGAATACCAAAAGAAACAGACTTCTTACAATAAGAGTTTTATAAAAAAATATTTTCTCCTTTTAGTTCTCAGGTCTCTCTTCTTTAAAAAAAAAAACCCACAAGAAGAAGAAATGGCACACTTATATTGAAGAGAAAGAACTTACAGTTACAAATGTTATAAATGTTACCTGAAGGACTTCAGATATATTAAGGAACAACAGAACCAAAGAAGTTAATTGGTTTGTTTTTGGGTGACACCCAGCAGTGCTCAGAGGCGACTCCCAGGCTTAGTGCTCTGAAAATCACTCCTGGTGATCCTCAGGAGATCCTGTGGTGCTAGGCATCTAAACCAGAGCTTCAGCATGCAGAGCATGTCCTCCAGCTCAGTAAGTTATCTCCCTGGCCCCAAGCTTCCTATCTTGTTCTTTTTTTGCTTTGGGAGTTGCATCTGACTGGCTTACTCCTGGCTCTGTACTCAGAAATCATTCCTGGAGAGCTGGGAACAAACCTGGGTTGGTTGCATACAGGGAAAGCACTTTAAACTGCTATATCTCTAGCTCCACAAGGTATTGTGTATTATTAATATACAGTAGCATATTGCTACTTGTCACAAATGTATTTCATTTTTTAGTCTGTAAGTGAAAAGTACATAATTTATTTTTAAGAACAAATTCTAATCCATTCAGGGTGAAGAGATTATTTCTATATATTTATAATATTCCAAGAGAAATAAAATACATTAAAACTATTTAGTTCACTTATACTGTGGGGCAAGGGTAGGAAATCAGTTATTTAGAGGGAAAATACTCTATTACAGAAAAATTTAAGTTTTATTTCATGTCTATATTCTTATTTTATCAATGTCATGACGCACATTCACTTAGAAAAGCAATGAATTGGGGTTGAAGGATTAGTACAGCATGGAGGGCACCTGCCTTCCATGCAGCTGACCTGGGTTCAATACCTGCCATCCCATTTGGTCCCCCAAGTACTAACAGGAGTGATTCCTGAGTGCAGAGTCAGGAGAAACCCCTGATTACTTCCAGGAGTGACCCCAAAACAAAAAAAAATTAAAAACAAAATAAAAAAAAAAGTAATGATTCTTCAAATAGCAGAGGCAACTAAAATTGTACAAGGATCTCACTCAACTATTTTAATTACAATTTCATTTCTAATGGAAAAAATCTTAACTCATTTTTAAATCATCAAAGTTCTTATCATTTTTAAATCACCAAAGTTCTTTTGTAGCAAAATTGTAACCATTATATAAAAACTGATAAATTATCTAATTTAGTCACATATGCATGAATTATGAGAACTTAATACTTTACTGCAGAGCTGAGAGAACTGAGATAATACCCACCCACATTACAGTCATGCAAGTCTGCCTTTTGTCTCTATTCAAAATTAAGAGAAACTTTCTAGAATGATATGCTAAAAAATGAAAATGGGTTCAGAAACACACTTTACTAAACTTTGTAAATCAAGGCTACTAAAGTCAAGTATTCTCCAAGAACTTAAGTTAAGAGAAAATATAAAAGAGAAAACATGAAATACTGTTAAATGTATCAAAGTACACAATGAAAGAAAACAAATATCAAAATAATTTTAGGTGTGCCTAATTTTAAAGTTTATAAACAACACAAATTGAGTTTGTGATCCCTATAGACAAAAGTATATTACCTATTTTCATTTTATCAATAAGAGAAAAAGATACAAGGTGAACCACTGTAGGTCAAAAAGCTATTTTGAGACTAGAGAATAGCATTTATGATGCGCACTCAGGAAAAAGGAAAAAAAAAAGAATAGGAGAAAAAGAAAGCTAGAATCAAAAGAATAAGATTTATTGGAACTAAGATTAGACACCCTGGAGATTTCTTTGTTCCAGAAAACAGAGATTTTCTCCACTGAAACTCAGGATGAAAAAAAGTACATCAGGCATATTAAAAACTTTAAAAGTGCGATAAGACAATATTGACATGAAATTATCAGAGGACTATGATTTTAAAAAAGGGGTACAATGAGATATATGAATGATACATAATATATCTCTTATATTTGATTTTCTTACATTTTGAAATCTATCCTTCAGGATAATTTTACATATTTATAATTGGTAATTTGTGAAGGCTTAAGTTTTACAAAAGAGATTAATAGATCTAGAAACACAGGTTCTCTCTGGTTTTTTTTCAGGCACCAATTATTAGTCTCTCAGCTTAAACACATTAGTTATATACTATTGGATGATATTCACTATAATTCTATTAATTTATTTTAAAAGTTCCTATGACAAGGAATGTGAGTAAACTTGGACAAGTGGTAGAAAAAAGCCCTGTACTCTGTGGAAGGATAAAACAGGAGTGAACTGCTTAACTTTGGTATATCTCCCTAAAGATCACAGAGTAAGTATTTTGCTACTACTCTGTTATTTTGAAGATGTACTGATTTTTTGAAGAAGCCATAAGAAGAAGCCATCTAAGACAGTCGGTTTTAATGAAATAATACCGTTGGTTCTCAAAAGTGCATCCTTAAGATAATAGTAATATTAATAAAATATATTTACATGAAATGCTTGAAGAAAATATGAATAACTTAAAATTGCATTTAATAGCAGTTAATGAAGGCACTCTTACCTCTGAACTGTGGTTACCAACTCCTTTTCTTTCTTTTTCTGGCATATTATTTGTGCCTCCTTCTCTTGACACTGTGTTCTGATTTCTTCAAGCTTTTTTTCCATTTCTTTCAGTGTGTCTTGCAAATTCTTATTTTTTTCTTCTAAAACCTGCAGCTAAGGAGAACACTCTTAATCTCTGTAACATTTGGAATATTTAAATATACTTCTATTAAAAATTGTCTCAAATTTTTGCTTACAAAATTGTAACAGACTTATGGCTGTAATCACTCTATCTTCACATTTAACAAAATTTTATGCCTGTTAAAGAATCTGAAAGAACAGGATGATAGAGAAAAGGAGAATAGAATTAAATTTTTCTGAAAGACAGAAAAAAAGTAAAATACACTGATTTGAGGATATTAAAATTGTTTTTAGTTGTGGCAAGAAACACAAACTTTACCATGTTTAAAGTGAAAGAGCAATTCTGCAGTGCTAAATACACCTAATTATTTCATACATAATTGCCAAAATTCGTATTGCAAAACAAATTCTACAGCTGTTAACAACTCCCCATATATCTCTTTCCCTTGGCTTCTGGTAAGCACTAGTTTCTATTCTAGGTACCTCAGAAGTGGTATCATAAAATATTTCTCTTTTGTGGACTAGTTTATTTTATTTGAAAAATTGTGTGTATCCATCAGGTTTTGCTTATACATTCTTCCACCAATGGAAATTTGAGTTTCCTTCATCTTTCAGCTGCTGCTAATAATGCTGATATGAAAGCGATGTACAATTATGTGACACTTTCATTCTAACATGTAGAAACTCAGAAGTAAAATCAATGAATCATATGTTATTTTTAAGAACTGCCATATAGTTTGTCATAGGGGCTACCTCATTTTATATTATCGCCAAAAGGATTGTAAAGATTTTGCTTTCTCCACACTGTCACCAAAGCTAGCTACATTTTTTTCCTGTGTGTGTGTATGTTTTTTTTTTTTTTTGAGAGCCACACCAGACAGTGCTTAGGGCTTAATCCTGGCTCTGTGCATGGGTATCACTCCTGGCTGGGCTAGAGGGACCACATGGGGTACTAAGGATTGAACCCGGATTGACTGTGTGCAAGACAATCACCTTAACTTCTGTACTTTTTCACCAGACCTTATTTTTAAGTTATCCATCTCAGTGAGTTTAATAACATGTTTTAAATCTATTTTTTAACTTGTTTCAGTTCATTCAACCTCCTATTATCCTCTTCTTTAGGTTTTATTCTTAATTTTATAATTCATAAATTAATACAATCAGAGAATACATTGTTGGGTTTAGAGTCTGAAGAATAATAACACCACATAGATTAATGATTCTCAACTGTGTATTATTTAAAAGAAAATTATGTAGATATTTTTTATTGGTGGGTAATGAAAGAAGCAGAGCTATTGGCATCTATTAGGTACAGGCCATAAATCTGTTACATATCCTTTAATTCCAAAATCAAAGGAATTTCTAAACAAAAAATCAAAGGAATTTCTAAACCACACCAGGAATTTCTAAACAAAAAATATATTTACCTTCAAATGTCAGTAATGCCAAAGTTGAAAAATTCAATGATTATAAAGACTAAGAAAAGACTTAGGAATAGGTTTTAAAGATTTATAAAGTTTCACGACCTCAGGTTAGTTGGCTGAAAAACTTAGGATGAGGAATCGTTGAGAAAGTTATCAGAAAATAAGTCAGAGATGTCACAGATTAAGGAGTCAGAAAAATAAATTATGGACATTTCAAGAAAAATTAAAAAATACATTGAACAGATAAGGTAAAAATTTTTAAAAGGTGGTGGTGGTGTGTCAACTTGAGCCTTGGTGAGTCACAGAGGATACAGAGAAATGTCACAACTACAGTAGGAACTTACAAGTATATGGGAAGGAGATTGTCAGAACAGTTTGGAAAACAATCTTTTGGAGCAGAACTTAAAGACACACAGATTTATTAAGAGGTAACATTAAAAAGAAAAACCAATGCTTAAACAGTACTAAAAGTTGCTATTAAAATAGCAATGAGATGAATTTAACTTGTAATTAACCAAGTTACAGTACAAAAATTACAGAATTTCAAGTCAACTTAAAAACCAACATATTTTGTTGTTCTTTTGAGACCACATCAGGATGTTCCTGCAGTGTTCAGGGTTTACTCCTGGTTCTGCACTCAGAGATCAACTCTGGTGGGGCTCAGGAAATGATACGGGGTGACAGGGATTGAACCTGGGCCAGTTGTATTTAAGGCAAATGCTCTACCTGCTGTACTACTGGTACTACTGCTCTGGCTCTCCCAAACTAATATTTTTGTGTCATTTAAAGATGAGCATTTTATTTCATATTACCTGTAGACTCTGACTCTGCACGTCGTCTAGAGTTGGAAGATCAGCCAGATACTTTTCCAAGGTCTCAATTCTTCTCTGCTTTTCTTTGTTTTGTTCAGATTCTTTCTGACACTTCTTTTTCAGGCTATTGATGTATCTATCTCTGGTTTTAAGCTGAAGGAAAAGATTGTGACTCTTCAGTGGGTGAGTGATTTAAAAAGGATTAATATTTAATAGCAAATCAACATTCTAGTCTCAGGCATCACTGACTTCACCAATAGTTGCAGGTTATAAAGACTAACACCAAAGTAAAATTTACCTTATTTCATCAATTCTATGATTCATAATTTTTTCAAGTCATATAACAGAAATCAGAGCTTTTGGAGTCTTTATTGTGTTCTTTACAACTGAAGACATCCTACAGACTAGCCATTCATATAGCAGTAATGATAGGCTTCCTTTCTCTCCCTATTTGCACATGAGAAAATATGGTCTTGAAACTGTGTTGAAGTTTATGTGATGCTTAAAATGTTTTAAAATGCTATACTAAAAGTTGACAAACAGGAAGTAATTGGGTGCCCAGAAAGACAGAGAAGCAGAGCCATAATGTATAATTTGAAATCGGTGAAGCAAGTATTCAGCTCTGGAAGAATGATTCCAGTTTGTTATTTTGTACAAAAGCTATATCCAACTTCTTTTTTTATGTTAAGGCACCTACACAAAATTAAAGTTGTTTTCTTACTAACATTTTAAATATTAATGGTAACTGAAAACCTATTGATATGGTATATGATTCTAGAAAACTCCAATTTGTATAGAAGAAATCTCTTCCACCTAAAACAGGATATATTTAAATTTTACTATATATTCAAAACTCTTTAATACTTAAAGATCAATTTAAATTATGTACATATAAAGTTATCTAAAATTAATTCACATTTATATTTACCTATAATTACCACTCTTCCAAACAAGCATTCTTATAGAATTTATGTTTCAAAATGTTTTCAGTTCTTTCTCATATTCACCAGGTAAATAATTTGCATTTATTAGTAGTATAAAAGATTTTACTCTTTCAAATTTTATTAAAGTTAACACGTCTCCACAATATAGTTTCTTTAATGCCTAACTTTGTTTATTTTAGGTCTACTTTATCTTGCCTGCACGGCAAAGCCTGGCAAGCTACCCGTGATGTGTTCGACATGCCAAAAACAGTAACAAGTCTCACAATTTGTTGTGAGGTATTACTGGTGCCCGCTCGAGCAAATCGATGAACAATGGGAGGACAGTGCTACCATCTAAGAATATTTGGGACTTTCATTTAGGGTATCTTTAGAGCCAAAGGTGCTGATGTGACATCAGAACAAATGCACACTGTATAATACAATTTGCCATTCTGAATATGAGAATCACAAGAGATATTAGAGATTTAACTACAAGTCACAGAGATAGCATTAGAGTTTAAATAAATCAACTCTTTGAAAAATTAATGTTATTTCACTTTTTTTTTCTTTTTGGGTCACACATGGCGATGCACAAGGGTTACTCCTGGCTCATGCATTCAGGAATTACTCCTGGCAGTGCACGGGGGACCATATGGGATGCTGGGAATTGAACCCGGGTCAGCAGCTTGCAAGGCAAATAAACATCCTACCCACTGTGCTATCGCTCCAGTCAGTTCTTTCACTTTTTCCCAATTACTCCTAAACAAATTCCTCTAAGTTTTCTAGCAATTGACCAGTCTATTTTTTTTATTAATATGATCCCTTACTTGCTCCTAAATTTACAGTGAAATGCTTAAGTGCCTTAATGAAACAGAATGATGTCCTCAAAAAGCAAACAATGGATTAGTCAAAATGACTTTTACAATGTAAATATCTTCTAGTTCTCTTTTTTCCCTCTGGTTGATCAGCTGTTTTCTTTGTAGTCATAATAAATGTCAAAATGTAGCATAGATAAGATGAAAATTTCCTGAACATACTACCAATTTAATACAAGATCAATTTAGCTTATTTTTCAAGCCTAGATTATTTCTTTCTTATGACTCTGAAAATAGAAAGAAATTTCACTGCTTCACCCAGATGATATTAAGGTTACCACTAGTTAATTAACTTTCATTTACGAAAATCCTAACATTGTATACCTTCACTTTATCTATTTTTTTTACTAAATTCGGAAAAGAATTTAAAGGAGGAAAAAGTGGGAAGGAAAAGTTCTATATTCTGAGCGAGGTTTCCTAAGTAAGATGTGTAACCAGTAACTTTTAAGAATCAACAGTTAATTTCTCACACTATGTAAGTTACTTTATAATATACTTCTAAGTCTCATTCCATGTTTTGAGTACCCCCAGTTTACTAAGTGCTTTTTTGGTGTATGAACAGTGGCCTTAACTATTACTTAAATGTGACACTCATTTTACTTATCCCGTTTCTGAACTTTTGACACAGAATACTATTCCTTGATCTCAAACTTCTCTTATTACTCTGTTGCATAACACCTGTTATTTGTTGACCATAAACTAATTATACACCATTGGTTCTTGTGGTTTTCAGCCTTACTCATGAAGGGTAACTGGTTCAGTATGGTTTGAGGTATCACACTCCAAGGGATATTTCTGGTTCTGTGTTGAGGGTCACTCCTGATAGTGTTCAAGGGATAATGAGGTACCAGGGTCAACAACATACAAGGCAAGTATCTTAAGCCCTATACTATGTATCTCTCTGGGATCTTTGTAATAATTTTTTTATCCATGATTTGCTGTTTCAAAAGTTGCTAAATATAAAATCCAGAAATTATATAACTCTAGGTAAATGGGCATCACTAATAAACTGTTTTAAAGATTAAGATTTTTTAAGGGTATACTAATATTTATATCCTTTCAAAAGACAAAATAACTTATTTACGAATACAATTATTAGATCAAAATGAATTAGTGAGAAAATGTTTTCCCCTAATTTTTTTTATGAATAACTATCATCAGAGTAAAGGAATCAGCTGAAGAGTTAAACTTTCCACAATTTTACCCCTAGTTTTCCAAAATTTTTATCTAGATATAACTGCAAATTACTCACTATTCTCAAACTTTTAGGTAGAACTAAATTCTGTAACAGGATATAATTTTTACTTCATAGAGTCTTTGTGAAGAATAGGTTAAATGAGGAAACATCACTGTATCACTGCCATCCCATTGATGGTCGTATTATGCAAGCAGGCACCAGTAACATCTCTATTCCTCCCAGAGCTGAGATATTAGCAGCCTCTTCTTACTTGTCTTTTCCCAACGATTGGAGACTCTTTCAGGGTCAGAGGAATGAGACCTAGTGTCGTTACTGTATTTGGCATATCAAATATGCCATGGGGAGCTTGTCATGCTCTGCCCGTGCAGGCGGGATACTCTCAGTAGCTTGCCGGATTCTCCGTGAGGTATAAATGGGTAGGAAGTGTCTTATAATGTGACACGCAGATACTCTGCGGTCACGAGGTCCAGGAAGTGGCCTGGAGCGTGGAGCTGGTTGGGCAGTGGAGGTCGGCTGCTGGTGCTGGGTCCCTTGGGGTAGGGAGGGCTCTCACCCGCCCCACAGCCTGGCGCGGAGTCTGGTGGCATGGTTAATGAAGCCTCCTTTTAAACTCCCATCCGGAGGAGCATCCATGAGTTCTGGAGTGTGGCCAATGAGGAGATTATCTGATGCCGGCAAGGTGTGGCTTATGGACGTCGTGATCCCTGAGTCACTGGAGACTGGGGGAAGCAGGCAGAGAGTCTCTGTTCCAGATCCCATTGAATCCAGAGTCCAAGATCACAAAGTTATGCATTATCTGGGTTCTGTGGGACTTCATTCTTGTGTGAGGACTTCATTCTTGGCCTGAGCATTCAGAAAACAGCCTGGAGCATGGCGGTGGTTGGGCAGTGGAGGTTGGCTGCCAGGGCTGGGTCCCTTGGGGTGGGGAGGGCTTTCACCCACCCCACAGCCTGGCATGAGCCCAAATGAGGAAACATATTCATTGTATATTACTAAACTGTCTCACACACATGAAATAACTCAAATTACCACATTTAATGTCTTATGCCACAGAATCATTCTATTTTGTACGGTAAGGGATAAGACTCATGGCTTTCTCTTAACTCTGTGCTCAGGGATCACTCTTGGTGGGCTTAAGTGATCATATTGCAATGTCAGGGATAGAACTCATGTCAGTTTTGTGCAAGGAAAGTGCTTTGGCCCAGAATCAGTCTTGAAAATGATTTCAGAGAGTAAATGAAGAAGGAAATAGTGAAATGAAATTTCATGTGGAACAAAAATGTTATTTTGTTGCTGCATTAATCACTACCCCGGAGCTTCTATACTTCCTGCAATAATTCAACTCATGGGGCCAAGAATGAATTACAGTGGATAAGGAACTTGCCTTGCATGTACTCCTTTTTTGATCCCTAGCACACCATATGGTCCTTCAGCCCCGTCATGAATAATTCCTGAAATAAGCCCTGAGCACCACTAAGTGTGGCCCACAAACTACAATGATGATAATTAAACTCATCTCTATGTCCTCTGATACAAATTGCATCCTCTATTCCCACACCTCCACCTCCAGTCTCCCTGTTTGTGGACATTTCCATTCTAAAGTACCTTCTCAACTAAGAGGGCCACAATACAGAGAGGTAGTTTCTCTTATTCTCTATTTTTGCATCCGTAGTCAGCCCCTTTCATATTTCTCTAGTTAACTTACTTTTTTGTACTCTGACCCTCTGACCTATTTCTCTGCATATATACATATGTATGTGTATATATATGTATGTACATACATACACACACACACACACATATTCCTTCCTAGCACTCTGTGTTATCTCACATTTCTTACCCCTTGGTAAAAATCACTCAAAAGAATTCATCCATGGCCAGTACTTCATATTGATCTATGTTCCCACCTTTTTAGTAAAGCATGCAGAGAATTATAAAAATATTCAAAACTGTGTTAAGCATCTAACAATAAAGAACAAAATACTATAATCATAGTCTACTGAGTCCACCACTGGCTGAAATACCACTAAACAGCACATCACTGTAAAAGAAAGAGTTGGAAGTAAAGATGTTCAAGCTAAGACTTGAAAATATAGGTGAGTGGGAATTGGGAAGAGATAACCAAGTATTTCCCAGGCAATGGGTACACTTTGTGTAGAGCCTGTGATCCCGGAAACAAAGTCGAATCTGTTAAGCAACAGGGATGAAGTCTATAAATGTTAGGCAAGCTCTCTCAGGTCGTGGGAAAAACTTGTCTCAAAGACAATGATTTGGCATCAATGGAATTTAATCATAATTTTTAATAAAAAATTTAAACTTTATTTTTAAAAATTCAATCTTCCAAACTTATGAAAAAATTTGACAACTGATTTGACAAATATGTATGTTGAAGAAAGGTTGATTTAATGCAACTTTACTAAAGATATCTACCTTTTCCTCTAGTTTCTTCTTCTCTTCGCTAAATTGGCTTATTTTTTGTTTGATAAACTGATTGAGCTGTAAAACCTCCTTTTCAGTAGATGCAAGCTTTTGTTCGAGTTCCTCTTGCTGACAATTAGACACTGTCGGATCTGAAAATGGAGCCTGATGTGAAGTCTTCTCATACTGTGACTATTGGGAAAGAAAAAACAAAAAAACAGGTATGATTTTAAAAGCTTATTGATCACAAATAAATGGAAAGAAACTAAAAATGAAATTCAGTACACAGAGTATATATACAGTCTTTAGCAACAGTTAGACTTTGGCATAAATCCCAGATCTCTTGCCTCCTGATTATATCATAATTAAATCTGATTTTGACCCTCCACAGTCAGGGCTCAGTCTTCTCATCTCTAAAGTAAAATATGAAAGACAACCTGCCGTAGAGTAGTTTTTCCCTTTTTGCTTTTTTCTTAGATTGAGGGAACAAGCTTAGTGTGCTCAGGGCATATTCCTGGCTCAGGGGAACATATGTGGTGCTGGGGATCAAACAAGGGTCTGCTACCTACAAAGCAAGGCATTAACCTCTGCACTCTGCAGTGCCTTTTTGAAGAAAAGTAATAAAAGTTTGCCATTCCTAGCATACAAAAGCTTAAAAGTCAATTATTATTTGGTTAAAAGGTGTAATTAGAGATGCAAAAAAAATACATTATACAGGAGTAAAAGTTTTAGGGCAATTAATTAGAAGTAAATGTCTAATAAGGGACAATTCAAGTTAATAATCAATACAATAATTAATAAGAGTGTTTTCCAGCTAGAAAGTTTCATGAAATCAAGATCTTTAAAAAAAATCTCAGTTGCTCCTGTATTCATATTTTCTAAGATACTGTCTGGCTCAAAATAAGTCCTAAAAATTATGGAATGTGTTGGATAACATTGGTTTGTCCTTTCTCCCCTGCCTCAGGGAGCTTAGGTTTATTGAGTACCACTTATCACAGGCCTCCCATTCCTCTGTGTTTATCTTTAACTTCTCATTCTGCTCTGCTCTCCCTACTTGTTAGTCACTATATCCCCAAATCAGACCCTGTGACTTGTAAAGTCAGATTCTTCTGAGGACTCCAGGTTTTGTATATGCAAGTGAAATATTGCTTTTCTTTTTCCTTTTTATCCTTTGCAGTTCACTTTAGAGCAATGTCCTTTATATATAAACAGAGGAAGATAGTTAATGCTATGCCTTTGTAATCTGGGAGTTAACTGATTCTGAATAATATTAACTCCTGGGAATCTGTCATATTTATTGACTTATGCCTCAGTTGCCCTTAGTTCCTAACACCCCAAAATGGGGGTCCCAGCAAAAGACTTGGACAAACCCAGGGCAAGCCGTTAGCCACCCTGGCATCGAAAAGGGACAGGCCAAGAGCCATAAATTATATAAGTAAAGAGTATGATTATGAACAAACTCTGTCATGACCAAAAAAAAAAAGCAGCTGGATAAGGATCCTGCTGGAGTTAGGAAAGACTAACCTGACCTGAGGACTAGAGTCTGGGATATATAGCAAGATGTCCCCAGGAAGAGCCAACCTTTAAGCAGCTTAATATATCTCTTACTATGTCCATACAAAATTACTAGAATTATTAAAAAGTAAATTTAAGATGACCCTTTAAATGGATATGGACTAAGGAAAGGAGAAAAATGCCCTTAGATGGAATTTCACCCTTGGGGGGGATCTCCTAGCAGGATGATATTTTGTCCTAGAAGAAGCTTCTCCTGAAGGAGGGGCTTGACATCTATCTGTTCATGAGCAACAATGGCTATGTGTAATTGCTAACCCCTACGCTTCATGATTCTCTCTATAACTGAGGGGGTGAGACTGGAATACACACAGGGGTGACTGAAACGAATGGCAACCTTTGGTCAGTTGGGGTGAGGAGGCAGCTCTTGGCCAGGGAACACACGCATCATGCTCCCACATTTTGAACTCTTGGGAATGAACAAACGTGTTGTTTCTATAAACAGGCTATAAAAATTCAAGTAAAATCTCTCCCTAGTGAAGTGGTACCCTACTGGTAGGCATGGTATTGGAACAATGTATGCATGCAACTATTATAGTTTTATAAATAATGGTACTTTAATAAAAATGGGGCAATTAAAGAAGGGTTTTCTATTTTCTCCAACAGCATTACAATTTAGAAAGAAAAATTAAGAAATATAAATATTTCCACAAATTAAAGTAAGTGTAATGAAATGCCAACAATGCAACACAAAAGTAAAAGACTATTTTTCTGTTATTTAACAAATATTTAGTGAGCATATAATTTAACAGTTACTATATCAAGGTCCCACCAGTTTAAAGAAGTGTCATATATTTTACAAAAGGCAATGCAAACTTTATAAGTACTAAGATAGAAATATGTGTAGCAACCATGAAGAGACGAGACTACACACACACACACACATACACACACACATCACAATATAATAAAGTAGTTAAAGAAATATGAAGTAAAAAGTTCTGGAGAAAGTGCTGGAGTCAGAAGTAACATGAACAATCAAGATTCACCTTTCCATGAAGTTTTATGAGGCAAAAACAAATACCAACCTAAAATTCTGTATCCTTTGAAAGTCTTATTCAAAAGTGAAGGAAAACTAAAGAAAAATAAAAACCATAGGTGCTTGCCTATAGATTCATTGAGAGAAATGTTAGGCAAAGTTCTTCAAAATAAGAGAAATTATGTATGTCAGAAACTAAGTTTACATATAGAAATAAGGAACGTAGAAGTAAAGTACATCAGAGAAGGTACAAGTGAAAAGAAAAAAACTTTTAAAAGTTTTTTTTTTCACTCTATTGTGAGTAGAGATTGCTAGGGATCAAAGCAGGCCCTCACACACACAAAGCAGGCATTATATCACTATGGTACATCCTCATCTCCTATTTTTTTTAAATTTATTTAAGAGATAAGCAATTTTTTCTAAACAAAAATAGCTAGTGTATACAACTCTGTGCATGTGCTAATGTACAAGTGAAATGAATGACAGCAATGATGTAATGAAGAGGAGGAAAGGTTTAGTAGTATTTTATTATTATAAGGTAAACTACACATTAAACATAGTATTATATACATATAAACTTTAATTGTAAACATATATTGCTAACTCTTGGACAACCACTAAAGAAAAAAAATCATTTTATTTTTAACTTTTTATTAAAATCACCATGATTTAAAAAGTTGTTCATTATACAGTTGCTTCAAGCATTTAGTGTTCCAACACTGCCAGTGTGACTTTCTCTCCACCAATATCCTCAATTTCAGCCTTCCCCTTTAGGCACATAAAAAATTTACTCTATGTTGCTTATTTCAACAAAACTTAAAGAAAAAAATAAGTGTAACCTATATTCAAAGAAAAGAGAAAAAATATTATTATATAAAATGTGTAACAAAAAAAAACATGTAACTAATGGCGCTGGGGAGATAGTACAGAAAGGCACTTGCCTTCCTGCTGTTGACCTAGACCATCAGATTCTCCAAGCACCACCAGGAGTGACTGCTGAACACAGAGCCCAGAGTAAGCCTTGAGAACTATTAGATACGGCACCAAAAATAAAAGGGTAAAGGCCCTCCCGTTGATCGTCGATTTGCTCGAGCGGGCCCAGTAACGTCTCCATTGGAGACTTTGTTGTTACTGTCTCTGGCATATCCCAAAACAACAAATGCACAATTAAAATTGCAAAAGGAAGAAAAGACATGAGACACAAAACCAGGTGAAAAACAAAATCAACAGCAAAAAAAAAAAATAAAATGTTGGTATCATACAACTGTATCGTAATCACTGTAAATATGTCTGGTCTAAACACAATAAAGGGAAGAGACTGTCAAGAGTTGATCCAAAAGCATGACCCCAATTAATTATATACTTCCCACCAGAAACACTTTAAATATAGATACATATAGATTAAAATTAAGTAGGTGGGAAAGGATGTATCATTCAAACACTAATTAAAAGAAAGCATGATGGCCATGGAGATGGTTCAATTGGGAGAACATGTCTAGCATGTGCAAAGCCTTTTGTTTATTCCCTAAGTATGGCCCAGGTGGCTCCTGAGTACTCATTATAATTTCATTTGCCATTTCTTTAAGTTTCTCTTAGTAAACAATATGAAATAAATTTATTTGACTGCCATGGGGGGCAGGCTGGAGATTACAGATACCTAGGGACACTGATGGTGAGATGGGAATTGCAACATTGTATACCTGAAACAATTATATTATGAACAGCTTTGTAAAATCATACTAACTTAATAACATAAATAAAAATTAAATAACTGGTTTAAAAAATGAAATGTCACAGTAATTCCAAAATCTGGGGGGAAATGATAAGATAAAATTAAAATATGTTAAAATAAAATTTTAAAATCCTAATAAGAATTTCAAACTACCAGAGAAAAAAATGATAAGACCTTCCAGGAGAAACAGAGAAGCCCACCGGAATAGCTTAAGGCTTCAATAGTCCGCATATGGAAGGACAGATCCATCAAACAGAAAATCACTAAGAATAGTTGAAAATCAGTTGAACTCAATAGACCACCAATCAGCTGGATATAATTGCCATCTACAAACTGCACATTCTTTTCAAGCTCACATGAACCATTCACCAAGACAAACTCATTCTGGTCACAAAACAAATATCTTATTGTATTTAAAACTAAGAAACATTATGGAATATAAACATAGCTCCTCAAACCATAATAGAATTACATTAGAAATCAATAGAAAGGTAGTTGAAAATTCCAGCACAAAGCTTAAATAATACTCATCAAAATAACATACTGGTTGAAAGAGATGTCTTAAAAACCTCTTAAGTATTTTAAACAAATTAAAAGGAAAACAATACATTTTCAAAAGTATGGGGTTTTCTAATAGTGATTAGAGGGAATGTTTTATATGAGGTACATGTATACATGTATTGGAAAACACAAAAAACAAAATCAGTTAAACTTCCATTTTAGAGAATTAGACAGAGTAAGCAGTACATAAAGTAGGTAAATGATAATTGTAGAAATCAATAAAAGCAGAAAATCAAGAGAAAAAATCAATAAAATCAAAAGCTAGTTCTTGAAGAGGTAAATAAATAAAATCAATGACACTTTAGATAATCAAAGAAAAAATACACAAATTTATAACACAAAAGTATC